TTGTGGACTGTGCTAACATTCCCAGTGATTACTAGGAAAATATTAGCGTCGCCACGGAGGCAGTTATAGTAATCACTGGGAATGTTAGCACAGTCCACAAATATGTGGTTGGCTTCTTGAGTGATCTCCAGTTGATTTGATTTAATCGCTAGTTCCATTCTCTTTTGAACTTGGCTGCAGCGTACTGATGAAGACCAATAATCAGAAACACGTGTCCACTGTTTGCCTTTAGGCATTTTTTTTTTTTTCATTTTTTTGCGGTATTTGCCCAATAATCCTTTTATCTTTTATATTTTTTCTCCGCACTAAACCTTCTTTTAAACCTTCTTTTAAAAATATATATCTAAATATTAGATGCTGAGTATGGCTAAAACTAATCTACACATCATACTAGATAGTTTCAGTGTCGATGTATTGAATAGGTTGTGCAGCTAGTGCTAAATCTGGTAAATCAGTGTCTTGGTTTTGTTTTGGATAGACGTTTCTTTTTAAAATTTCGTCGTTTGACTTAAAATTATAACAAACCTTGTTACAAATTTTGACAGTTTCAATAAGTAAACTATGCGCTAGTTCAGTGTGATGTCATTTTGGTTTCATTGACATTTAATTCTAACCAAACTTTTAACAAAAACATCAATAGATTTGACATATACTTTTTTACTGTTTTTAGTTTATTTCTAAATATTGTTTACATGACATAAAAAATAGTTTAAAGGTATGTAATTGGTAACTAAACGATTGTATATTTGATACATGCGATCTACTTACTTTAGGAATATATAAAAGTGAAAAAACGATATAATTTAGGTAAACAAAACGAACAAAACGCACTCAAAAAATCTACTGCCACTTTAATTGTCAGTGGAACCATAATTACATCATCACTGAACTAGCGCATTTGGGTTGTTTTTATTAAAAACAATTGTGAAAACATTCGTTCAGCTGACGCCGAGGAATGCGGTAAAGAAAAAACAATTATTAAATTTGGAAACTGAAAATCGTTATCGCCATCTTTTTGGCATAACAGAAGGAGACCAAAAGGTCTCTAAGTCATCTAAATGTGTTTCCATTTCTTTTAAGTCAGGGATGCTTCTCCATTCTTAATTAAGTTCTTCAATATTGACTTTGTCTTTTAAAACAGGAAAGCAATTAAGAAGTTTAGTCAAGCTAGGAATGTTGCCAGAGTACGCAATTTTTGGCTCTAAAACGTTTAGATTTTCTAATAATGTGTTTTCAAAAGAAAAACGATTTTTAATTTGAGTACACAGCTCTGTATAAAATGCCAAGCATTTATGTTTAAAACTTTGTATATCATTTTCTGTTAAAATATCTTTATTTTTTTCTATATATTTTTCAACGTATGCCCCAAAATACATAGACGAAGGGTCTAGCTGAATTTTTTTGTTTTTCGGGTCAATGTCATTTAAAGGAGCACAATCAACTACACTTATTTTTATAAAGCATCGTAAAAGTACCTTATAAAGATTACAGATGCTCTGAAAGAGAGTCGTTATCTTTGGTTTTTCTTACTGAAAAATTAGGTTAATTTTATTAATCAAATCTAAAACAAAATTTAAAAAGTAAAAGTATAATTTGTACATTCTACTGTTTAGTGAATTTAAAAGAGTTTCGCAAGACTGTAACTTGTCTACTAATACATCACCTTGAAAATATAATTTTAATGGCGCCCAATTGTCCAGAATTTTTTAGCCACGATTCCAAGAGAAAGCCAACGAGTTTGACTTGGACGTAACATTTTGTTTGGTTTGATTTGCAAAAAAGATTGAAACTGTTCTAACTCTTTGAATCTCTTTGGGCTGTTACTAAAATAATTGTTAATTTCTCTGGCAAAGTGCTCTATTGATTTGGGTAGCTGAGGCACAGATGTGAAAAGAGTGGCAAGTATAACCAAGGACAAATAAGTGTGGAACTAGTTCTTTTAAACGATCTTGTACGCCACTTATATTTTGCGCCAACGTTCTTTTGCGAAGAAAATAACAGAAATTAGGTTTCTTGGAAGTATAAAGGTAAATTGACCTAATATGTAAATGTAGTAGATTGTAGTAGAAATATTAAAAATGTAGCAGATACTAAAAAAGTGTAGTAACGTACTAGAACCATTAAATTGTAGTAAATCTACTACAATTGTAGTGACTCTGGCAACACTGGTTCCGAGATAGCGTGGAGGTCGGCAACATCAAGTTTATTTTGAATGTTAACCAGTGATGGTCTGAAATCTAAATTTTATCAGACACTTGCCAGTTTAGAATTGATTTATAGATAGCAGTTGTGGATAAAGTGATATCTATTATTGTTTGACTGCAAGAGTTTAAAAATATTGGTGTGGTACCTTTATTTAAAATACAAAGATTTTTGGTAATTATATAATCATAAAGTGACTTACCTCTAGCGTTGTTATCCTTACTGCCCCAATCGAAGTGATGATTGTTTGAGTCGCAACCTATTACCAGCTCAAACTTCTATTCCAGGTAGTATTTATTCAATATGTAAGTTTTTTTTTAATTCATATTTTTTTAGTTCATTTACGGCTTTTGAATATTTGCTGCTAATGTATAAATATGCTTGTAATATATTTTTATTTTATCATTCTATATGATTATATATAATGATAAGAATATATATGTATCTAAGAGATACATGCGCCTATGTAAGTTGTATTTATGTTTTAACTTTTTTTTTAGTCATTAAAATGGCATCAGGAAAAAAGAAATACGATCTAAATAACGAAAATAATTGTGAAAAGTTGAGAAATCTACTGGTACTGATGTTTAAATTTATTTTATACCAAAATATGGTAGTGCATCTATGAGATACATGCGCGCCTGTTCACGTAACTTTGTGGGCGCGACTGCCGGAAGGTTAATATAGATACTTCTCAGACACACAACAAATACAGCATTTTGTCATTTCTAGGGCACAAACGCCGTATTTGTTATGTGTCTGAGAAGTATGTATATTAAAAAACAAATCATTTTTGGGTTTTATTGAAATACATGCTAAAGATGCAGCTAGTATCGAAAATACAATTTTATAAAAATAAAATTCCGATGAAATTTCATTAACAAACTGCAGATCATAATGTTATGATAATGCTGCCGTGATGGCAGGTCACCCATCTGGCGTTCAACAAAGAATAATCGAAAAAAATCATAAAGCATTATTTATAAATTGTAATAATCATTCATTGAATTTAGTAGGAAATACATCAGCTAAACAAGATCCAACCGTTGTGACATGTTTTGGAATAATTGAAAACATATATCTCTTTTTCTCACGTTCAACGTTACGATGGGAATTATTAAATTGTCAAACGTGAATCTAAAATACGATGGAGCGCCAGAATACAAGCGGTTAGCGTTCTCGTCAATGGGCTAGAGAATATAGTAGAACTATTAGCAGAGGACACTACCACTACAAGTGACACTAGAAGTGAAGCTACAATTCTGTTGTAAAATATACTAACTTTTAGTTTCATAATTTTAATTCATTTCCGGTATGAAATCTTAAGGAGGATTGATCATGTGCAGCTCAGATTAAAAGAACCTAGAATAAATTTTAGAGATCTTGAATTATTAGCGACTGAACTAGCCGAAAGTAGGGACAAGCTCTGTGAAGAGGTAATAGAAAAAGAGAAAAGGTATTGTGTCTCGGACGCGAGTTAGGCTCGCTACGCCACTGCTTGATTTTAAGTATTCTTTTAATTTCTATGTTGTATTTTTAAGTAGAGTATAATATTAAGAATAATAATGTTTATTGTTAATCAAGAAGAGTTGCAAATTGGTAGATAAATACACAATAAATAATTAGGTACATGGTTATTTTTTTTACCTGTGTTATATCAATAGTAGACGAACATAACATTTAGAACTGTTATTTAAGAAAATGCTTAAAACAAAATACACTTGTTGAGTTCGGGGTGTGGACTCCTTTTACTCTTTTTACTCCGTATCTAGCTTCACTGAATTACAATGATTTAACATGGACCGGGGTTAGTTATGGAGTAAAAAGAGTAAAATGAGTCCACATCCCGAACTTAACAACTATATTTCGTAGATAACTAAGAGCACAAAATGTATCCATTTCTTACGTTTTTCTGAATCCCGTGGAAATCTGCAATAAATGAATAAAATTGTGTTTATTATGTAGATATATAAATGTTGTCTATTAATTTAGAATGTAGTTTCTAACATTTACTTATTACTGTCATCGATAAAAAAACCATTTAATTGAATTATTCAATATTTTATTTTAATACCACTCTGCACTGTATTTATACTTACCTAAGAAATGTTATTTACACCATTTTTAACTTGGGCATTTGCGTTTGGCATACGGCGACGCCATTGTTCTTTTAATGTTTTTGAGATAAATAGTTTATATAATTGGATTTAATTAATTATAATGAAATTAAATAGAACATTAAAAATAGACTATCGCAAGTGAAGGAAATCTAGTATCAATATGGCCGATGTGATGACACTTTTGATCATGTGATTGCTTCTTTTTCCTTATTTTACCTCCATGTTTAATATAGTAAAAACTATGGAAACATGAATAAATCTAAACGAAAACTTTTATTAGACCAATCAGATGTATTCAAATTTTCATTGAAGGATTGAAGAATGAGGTAATGAGGTATAAATAAAAGTCTACCTCTTGAACCTGTACTACGTTTTTCAAATCAAATTACTGCATTCCTTTTTTCACTAGACTATAAATAGGTTCAATTATCTTTAAAATATAATTTTTAACAAATATCAAATTACTTTTTGTAAGACAAATTTTGAAAAAAATGCTTTTTGGTAACTTCAGCGCCCTTTATATTTTTGGTAACTTCAGCGCCCTTTATATTTTTGGTAACGCACTACAGAGAGTTCGACATACAACGAATTTTTTTGCATATTTTTATTTTTATAATTTTTCGTGACCAAAAGGAATCAAGTTAATATAATAATTGAACATTATTGTTTTTATTTTAGGTAAACTGGGTCTGGGATGGACAGCTCTTCTAGGAAGCATACTATTGCTTATTTTATATGACACCCAAGATTTGGAAAGTATATTTGCGAGAGTTGAGTGGTCCACTCTTATATTTTTTGCTTCGCTTTTTATTTTAATGGAGGTATGTAGTTAATCTCAAAAACAAATATATATTCGGGATGTTTATTAGTTAAAGATGACGATGGTATTCACTTTTCACAAAATCATTTTTTTTTAAATTCATAATATTCTGCACTCTTCAATTTTTCGTGACCTTTTTTAAGCTCTTCAAATTATCATTTTGCCTTGTCCGTTTATTTTACCCTTATATGATGACTCTTACAAAAATCCATATTTCATTCAGAAAAACGAACTTATTGTCGTTTAAAAACTACATTTGGTTTATGATTCGCTTATTATTTTCAGAGTTTTGTAAGAAAATTCATAGTTTTCAATAAAAACGTAACAGAACCGTATACATGTGTGTTTTAATTTTACATTTAGTTTATTGATTTTAACGTGATGTCTTCTTGCTTACCTATCATAAACTATTTTTCCTATTACTCCTTTTACAGTATCACTTACTTCATAAGTCTTTAATTTCGGTAAAATATGCGATTGTCGTTATTGCTGTTTCCTCTCTGTTTTTCATAATAGTAGAATGTAAACTACATTCTTCGTTTTAAAACAAATCGAGTTTTACTTAATTATTTCGGAAGCAGAAGTTACCAAATCTTTTCAGGTTAGGTTGAAAATGAGTGGGATGATCTCATCGCCTTCCACTACGACCCAGATATATCTAGGGTGGCTCAAGTCTAACTTATAGTCACCATACAAGCCACACCAGTAGTTGTGATTGGCCAGTTCTGGACAGGAGGTAATGAGAGGTAATTAGTAATTATCCTAAGTACTCACCCCCACCCTTCCCGCAATTAGCAAGTACCTCCCAATGAGCGTAATTGCGTAGTGTAATGGGTGTAATTACTTCATACATATATAGATGTAAGTATTTACTATGTATATTGGGTAGCATGTAATGAGCATAGTAAGTACCTCTTAGATAGTGATTACTATGAATAGCATATAGTGTAATGAGTTTAGTCTAAGTACATCTCAATGATTACTATTGTAGCATAGGGGAAATACGTCGGAGCATACCTAAAGACATCCTTGACTCTCAACCGTCATAGCTATAGTGAGGCGCTAGTCTCCAGCAGACGCGCAAGACGTAAACATCGGTGGAAGGGATAGTTCCCCATTATTCACAAAATTAGCGGGTGCCTCTCAGGCTTGTATTATATGAATATGAATTGCATAGTAAGTACTTTTCAGTTACCCTATACACCATATGTAATGAGTATCATAAGTACCTATCATCACTCCATACACATTGAAATGTAATGAGTGTAGCTACCTTGTATATATAGTAATTTTTATACATGTATGAAGTGTAACGAGTTTAATTTAAGTACCTCTCGGTTATTACCATTGCAGCGTATATAGCTTTTGGGGAAGGGGGGCAAGTTGTACTATGTCCTGTCGGTGGGAGCGGTCATGTGACTTGTTAATTTCGAAGTAAATTTTCATATCGATGGATTTTGCTTTTTATTGATTTTGATATAGCGGCGGATTTTGCTTTTGCCCAAATTTATTTAATATAGTGGTGGTACCCTCAGACTCAATGAAATGGTCTGTCTCGAGGAGTGTAGTGTAGTATGAAAAACAATTCTAACAGATATTTAGTATAATCCATAGTATTTAGTATCGGAGAGGTAATTAGATTACTTATTAAAGAACAATTAATTCTAATATGTAATTACAATTCAAAACATCCTTTAATTAGTAAAGAAGATTGCTGAGAAATAGCACGCCAAGCATCCCTTTCGATACTGCCCCAATCGAGCCCGTACACATACCACTGTCCAAAAGTATAAAAATGTTTAGAGCGGGGTAGAAAGCAATTTTTATAACTTTTGCGTCTACAATTTTAATTTCCTTGAGTTCCCACATACCTTTTAAGTTGCATATTTAATAATAAATATTGTATTTATCCTAAAAATTATTCTATTATTTTCTTTTTTATCAAAAACCGTTAAAGAGGAAATAGGAAAATAAATTTGAAATTCACTTATTTTTGATCATAGAATATATCGAAATAATAAAAAATTATGTATTCTTTTAAACTATTAAAAATATTGATGTTTTGTTGAAAGGTGCAGAGGTACACATTGGATTGTAATGAGTATGAGTAATTGTTTTTTATATTGTAGGTAGTAAGTAAAATATCTTCATATCGATACCCTTTGCCAGAATAACGTAAGCGACATTTGTTCAAATGGCCCTTACGATAGTCTGGCAAAAAGGTATCGATATTAAAAGGTATCGATATATGTTTTATTAAAAATTTTGAATAAATCTGTACAATTTTTGTTACGCAATTTAGTGTACCTACTTAGTAATTCCGAGTACCTAAACAAAGGCAAGTATATCATACACCTACCAACATTATGTGTCAAATTGTGAATAAAATGTTATAAAGTAATCGAAGACAGTCATTTCTTTTTATTTAAAAATGAATACCTACTCTGTTAAGATCGTGTATTAAGTGATAGCGGTAAATACGTAGGGCCCGATTATAATTAGAAGAACACCGCAACGTCATAACCATTACTTTAAATTTCGAATACATATCTATAATTATCAATAAATAAAAAGAAAGTTATTAGGTATAAAACAATATTTCCTCTAATATTAACACTCCACTAAACTTCCAGTAGGCTGCGATAACCAATTAATTACTTTGCCAAATGATGACGTGGCTGTGTTCTTCTAATTGTATTCGGACCCTACGTATTTATATTTCGGCATGCTAACCTATGCGTCTAATAGCCGAGACAATAGGATGCGACTGACTTCTGGGGTGCGTGCACAGTTATCAACCCTAATTATTTGTCTTTTCCCGGTTAATTAACCGTGGATCGCACGGAGAATGTTCCACGTTTACAATTATCAACTTGAAAGTGAGAGATGACCTAAGACCCTTTACAATTGTCAAATGTCTAACCAAAATATCAAATGTTTTTGTTTACAAAAGAAATGAAATGGATCCGGTTGTAGCGAATCATTTTTTATTTGAAAGTTATGATGAAAGTGAGGAGTCAGACAGTGATATAGAGACTGTTGCTGTCATGGTTGAGATAGTTGAGAGTATAGCTGATGCTGTAACCAGCAAGATTAAAAGAAAAATTCGCAGAAGAAGCAGCATTGTGGAGGAAACAGAAAACTGCTCGGAGAAGGAGTTTCAAGAGGACTTTCGAATGACTCGGCAAGCATTTAATTGGCTTCTAGCTCAAATAGAAAATAAACTCGCAAACTTAGGTGTGGGACCTAGTACTATTTTGCCAAAAAAGCAACTATTGGCAACTATTTGGATCTTGGCTACACCAGATAGCTATAGGTAAGGCCTAGTTATAAATTAAAAATGATCCCACTTGCCATTCTGGTTTTCACTGAAAGTATTTTTAGATCTGGTTAAGAAATTTGGGATGTCAAGATCAACACTTCATAAATGTGTTAGAAGAGTTGTTGAACAAATAACCCCACTGGCAACACAACTAATGTTGGCCCTCTAGAGAAGAAAGGGAAGCAATTAAGAGGCAAACCATACTTTTCGGTAACATACCAGGAGTTGTGGGTGCAATAGATGGCATTTTTGTACCCATAAAAGCTCCATCTGAAAATGCACAAGCATACAACAATAAAAAGTATTTTCATTCGATCACTCTGCAAGCTATTTGCGATAGCAAAAGTAGGTTTCGGGATATTTTTACAGGCTATCCAAGTTCTGTTAGTGATGCACGCATTGTTAGAAATTCTGATTTTTTTTAAGGCTGCTGTTAACAACATGCATGATTTTTTCAGTGAAAATGGGGTTATTTTGGGTGATAAGGCTTACCCTCTACTAAGATGGTGTATTCCACCTTACATTGATAGAGGGAATTTACAGATAAGAGAAAGAAACTTTAACACACAGCATGCCAAAACTCGCCAAATCATTGAAAGGGCATTTGCACTACTCTTCGGTCGATTTAGACGACTTAAATATTTGAATATGTGTAGAGTGGATCTCATACCAGAGGTAATACTAGCATGTTGCGTGCTTCACAATGTTTGTCTTATGTTTCCAGATGAGATGCCACAAAATTATGAAGTTGATGGACAAGCATTTGTAATCGAGGATGAGGAACATGACAATGTTGTTGAAGCAACGGATGATATAAGAAGAGATGGTCTACATCTTAGAGATAAAATTGCGGATTTATTAAATTGAATCATTTGCTTTGTTAGTGCTTTTGGAATATTTTTTGTCATTTAAATAATATGGTAACCTACATATTAGCTTAATAAATAACTTTGATTATTTAGGGGTATATTCATAGTCATTCCTTGGTTTCGTCCTTCCTTTATTATTTTAGATAATTTGTAACCACTAAGGAACTACTTGTAATCATCAAAATTAATTACCACATCAATTTTTTAATTTATTTTAAAATAGAGATGGTATACATATGTAAAAACCATTAGTGATTATTGATTAATCTACATATTGCAAAAAGATACATATTGCTGAAAATAAAAAAAAAATAATTCTGCTTAAGAGCACTAAGGTTTACGGAATCATGAAAGACGCTGAGACATGTCGATTTTTATTCTTAATTTGCCAAATTTTTATTCTTAATTTGCCAATTTTTAGGGTGAAAATATTACACCCTCACTTTAACCCTTCTGAATTTTGACCACACCCCTGAAAATTTTAAATAAGAAATAGGTCGTGTGGCACCTTGTTTGAAAGGTCTTTGCAAGCCCTTTACATCCATATTTTATTTTTTTTTAATTTGGATAATTAATAACAAAGTTGCAAGGGGAAGAAAAACACATTTTTTTTTGGATTTGGGTGGCTGTATCAAACTGTTGAAAATCGAGAAATACAGTTTCCATGTCCCTATCCTAACTTTTCAGGTTCTATGCTGTGGCACGAAAAAATATCTGATTAGGGTGGTCAAAAATAAGTGGTTTTCGATCACTCTGTATTAAATTTTTTATATACCACAGCAAAAAACCTGAAAACTTAGGCTAAGGATA